GAACCCTCTCCAGAAATGCAGGCTTTAAAGAAGAACATCTATATATGGCCTTAGTAATAAGGAACTTATCCACAAACAAAAATTGCTTAGTTGAAAGCATGTCTGGTGTCCCGCTAACACCCCTCTCACCCGCACCCCCACCAGCCCAAAAAAACCACACACCACACTGGCACAAATCTAAAGACAAAAATGTAACAAGTCTGGAGATGAATGATTAAAGAATGCAGCCAGTTCTCCACTGTCATCTAATGATCCTTTACCATTCACTAGCACCTCATCCAGTTTGCACCACTGATGCAACTGGGCCCTTGTTTTGTTCTGTAATGGAAGTGTGCTGCTGGAGGTATACTGCTGACCTGAATATATTGCTTATTAAGTGTACAGTAGACATTTTAAAAGGAGCAGTTTCCAGAGGGCATTAAGGTATGTCAGCGTTCTGTAAGTTCTAGTGTGAAATCGAGTATTTGTATGACTAGAAATGGGACAAATGATCTATCCGGGGTTATAAAATGGGTTGATTATATGGTGGTGTAAGGCATGTGGCACTAGGCTTTCCGTGTATGTATTTTAATGACATTTGTTCACAAATATCCATTTTTGGTAGTAATTCATGTTGTAACATGTTAGTGTATTGACATGGCTCCCTGGAATAGGAAATGCCTGTATCATCTCAGGCTGTACACTCAGTGTCTCCAGGAAGCATGTTTGTCTGGTTCTCCAGAGTGAGCTGTTCAGACCCCATGAACCACCGACCCAGTGTATAAAAGACCTCTTGTCCTAGTCCAAGACAAATCAGCTGTACCACAACGGAGACAGGTTAAGTTTCTTAGGGCTTTTATGACGCATCATAAACAATGAATTGCTGAACAGACGTGGAGTTGAGGCATGTGGTAGAGAAGTCTGTGCCAAATGTGACTATAGACAACACTGGCAGTGATGCTGCACACTCTTTGGGGATTAGTAAAGAAAGCTTTTCTAGTTCTATATACAAACACATGCAATGGGGGCACAGGGAAAATCCGTCAGTGAGTCACAAGGATACAAGATAGGACATGAACATGGATGCTGAAGTTGCAGATAGGTAGCACTTGTGATGGGAATAACTTTGGCCAAGAAGGGAAAGTATCAAGGGAATTCCATAGGAATTACTAGTCTGCCTTTTCTAAACCATTATACCCATATCCTGAACAGAGCCCTCTGCTGTAAACTCACTATAAGAAACTGTAGTTAAACCATGACTTTAGAAGCACTATCGGGTACTGATGACCTCTTTCATATGGAAGGGAAAAGGCTAACCCAATAGCAGGGCTGCTTTGCTATGCTACGGTAATGGACTATAAATACAGAAATAATAAGTGACTGTAGTCATTCTGAGTCACACTGCTCTTATGATTAAGAGGGAGGAGATGGAGGCAGAAGCAAACAAGACCAGTGTTTCAGAAATGCTGTTGCAGAAGAAATGTAATCAAAGAACAAGGCATCTTCAATGGTCAGTGTTTCCAGTTTTTACACACAAGATTAGACAAAGAAGCAACAAACAGAGAATTAACATACTTGGGTGCACTTTTTCCACTTGGAACGATAGATTCTGCCAGCGGCTTATCAGGCAAAATTAAGACATCAGCACTGGGTGTCATTCAAGAAACAATAAACAGCATCCTTTGGGAAGCCAAATTCTGCAGTGGAGCACTAGAATCTCAGATTCCATCCTCACCAAACAAATTAACTCCTTCACCTCAGGAACCTGCCAATGGTCCGCAGCACAACCTCCACTGCTGGCATTTGGAACCGTTCACATGAAAGGATTCTTGTCATTAAAATAAATTGCAATGGAAACCGCAGTGATGACAGTGTTAGAGTCTAGAGGCACACTCAAGGCGGACACGTTAAGGCTCCATCTCAGGCAGAGGTTGACAAGGAATTGAGGGCCGTTTGCCTCCCGCACTCTTATATAGCCTTGGTGTCCAATATGAGGAGACATAGGGAACATATGCAGGACAAACGGACACTAAAGAAAAATCTCCGATCAAGGCCTTAAGAGGTGCATGTGCACCTGAAGTAGGAGCACCCATAGGGACACTACTCAAAGAAGAAGCATATTGCTAAAAACACAATTATTTCGTTTTAAGAAGGCTGTCTAATTATAGTTTATCACTAGTCACAGACTCCCGAAAGTTGGAACTCCAGTGTCCAAATTCAGTTGGACCTGCAGAATACTGTAGTCCTGGGCCCAGACTATGAGTGGGAAAATTACAGAATTACACTCTAGGATAAGTAAAGGCATGAGACCTGACAGAGTGCATTCAGAGACCAGAAATGGGAGAGAGGTGAGGCTAGCCATATAATGATGACATTAGTCAAATCAAGCTTTAAAATTCACAACATTCATCGGTTTTGGTATTTACATGGGGAATTAGTAAAAGGCAACTAACACTATATGGGTTAACATGACTATTAACCACTGACTAAAGCTGTGTATGTAAACACAATTATATGGCCATGCAAATCAGCACATAATCTGCTTATTCTCTGATTTTGCAGCCTAGTTGCATTCCAGATTTTAATCCTTCATTTAAAGGGGAAAAAATTCTCCTCCCAATATTTCCAAGGTGTGTTGCAGCTATCTGATAGCATGGACAATGAGGAATCCAAGCACCTCTTTCCTCACAAATTGGAAGTGATTTCTGCTTTTGTACAAAGTGGGATGGAGGGGGAGCACACAGAGAAGGGGAGAGTTCTCTTTTCCTCAGTACCAAAAGTATTAACTGCCTTCCGAATGCCAAATCACAAAGACTTCCCCACTCCTTCCTGGGAGCCAAAAGCCCCAGTGTCCATTACCTAGCTGTTGAAACTTCTAGAATAAGCTATGCATTTTCAGGACAAACATCTCCAGCACACTGAACATGGATAATTCTGGGACAGCATCACATGCATTTTACTTAATATCTAAATAAGTACAAGGAAGAGACTGTGCTTTTGTATCTCTTCAAATCACTAGAACCTAGTTTGTTTTTAAATATACTTAATTCTGTCAAGAACTTCCGGTCTGCTGTGTGGGAACGTTGCAGAAACTAGGATAAAGTGTTGTAGAATTTAGGTCCAGCTTGCCAAGAAGAGGATGAAGCACTGATTGAAATAAGCACTTTGATTGAAGGAAACAAAAACATCAATGCTCCCCTGGTGAAAGTAACAAAAACATGGTTAAAATCCTGGACACAGTGCACATTCCAGAAGAAACAACAGCTTTACTTATTTTTTCAGTTCTCTTTATTGGCACTTATTTGGAAAACCAGCATAAATATTTAATAGAGAAGAGACATGTTGACCCACACACAATACAACTACTGTAATTACCTTTCTGTTCATGCATCTTTTAAAAGGGTTGGCAATCAGATATTGAGGCCCATTCATGAAAAATGAGATAAGCAAGATAAAAATCTATAATTTTGCCCTTATCACAGAAGAATGAATGCACAATAAGTCTTTGGCATATGGCTGAGATTATAAAATAAAGCCATGCTGTATTAAAGCAAGCAAGCAGATGTTATACACAATTTTGTCTGTCTGCCATTGGGAAAGGGAAGCATGAGTCTCAGAACTTTATGAAAACTGATCTGTGGAGTAAGGAAGCTCAGTTGACAATTGCAATAATTTAGATAAACATGGAGAGTCAACAATAAACCATGTTCACAGTGTTTGAGCTAAGAGTGAGACCACCACATAGATCCCGTATCTCCATATTATACAGGAGAAATAAGTCCTTAGTCCTCACTCATCCCAGGTTCTTCACATCTTCTGTTTCCTAACCTTGTATGCTGCTGCCCTGTCAAAGTTCTGCCTCTGTGAAACAGCCATATGACAAGGTAGAGAACTACCACCATATCTTGTTTTAGGAAAGGCTCACTACATTCAGTGCCCACCTTTAGCCCTGCATTACAGTTTTACTGTTTGGGAAGGAAAAGTTTTGCTTCATTATTAAGCTCTTGGAGGCTGGCAGACTCTTGCTTCTGTTTTGGGAGTCTTCTAGGTTTGCTATCATGGTGCTTCTGGACATACTAGCTTCTTTCAAATCCATTATAGGAATTCTCCAACATCTCTAAATTGATCAATTCTACACTTGTGATCAGTAATTTTTTAATTTTATAACATCAGAAATCTCTTTATGCTATGATACTGAGGAAGTGGAGGTTGCTTCTACTGGGTTGCTATTACTATACGGAAGAGATTAAAACATGGTATGTGGTCACGTAGCAGAGTTAAATGTTCATGGATTATCACTTCAGTCTGGACATACTCACTCAGAATCCCTCCTTAAGGCTTCCTTTCTCTCCAGTTAAACCAATTGTTAAGATTCTACTGCCTCTAATTTTCTTATCTGAAGCATTTAATTTAGGGATTTTAGCATTTCATGCACTGTCCCACACACTATTAAAGTTCCTTCTGTGGGAAAACAGTGCTAGGAGAATGCCTATCACTCTTGATAGTCACACAGGGGATAAAAAGGAAGCTGGTGATTTTGGCAGGCAATTTTTTCCATGTTAAATCTGGATTTAGTCACACCAGCAATTAGGATTACAAATAAAATGTAACATATGGACAATTCATCCATTCTGGTTCTGCCTTCCGAGGGAAACGATGGGGGCGAAAGACCTCTCTGGCTTCAAGATTAGGCTAGATAAGTTTATGGAGGGAATGGTTTGATGGGATAACGTGATTTTAGTCAATTAGGCAATAACGTGCCATTGCTGGTAAAATGTGGGTCCGGCTGGAGAATCTTGCCTGTATGCTCGGGGTTCTACTGATCGCCATATTTGGGGTCGGGAAGGAATTTTCCTCCAGGGTAAATTGGCAGAGGCCCTGGAGGTTTTTTGCCTTCCTCCGCAGCATAGGGCAGGGGTCTCAAGCTGGAGGATTCTCTGCGACTTGAAGTCTTTAAATCACGATCTGGAGACTTCAACAGCTGAGATAAGGGAAATTGGGTGGGCCAGCTTTTGTGGCCTGCATCATGCGGGAGGTCAGACTAGATGACCATAATGGTCCCTTCTGACCTTAAAGTCTATGAGTCTATGAGTTTTCATCCAATCAGAACATAACATTGATTAGCAGCCGAACAAATTAGGACTTAGGCACCAATTATATTTTGATACCCACATTTACATTTTAAAAAACAGCAAATGAAATACCCACAGCTTGTGGAGTAAAATTAATATTAATAAACTGATCAGTTGATTAGCTTGATAAAAAAAATGACAGAATCCAATAAAAGCTATCTGTTACCTAGATCAGCACCATTACAAACTGGTGACAACTGAAAAGATGTAGTTTAAAATGCCTTGTTTCCCCTTGTAGAATAATATATGTATTTGCAATGTATTATGCCAATCAAGAAGATCTATTGCAAGTCAAAACATGTATGCAGATATTCGCATATTAAAGAGAACGTTTGGAGTTTAAACACTAACTGTATTTAGTAAATGTCATACAAATCACTATAAACTTCCTCAAGGAACTATTATGGAAGTTTTCTAGAAATAAAGACATTTCTGGAAGTTCCTATGAGGAACAGGATCAGATAAGAAACTCAGTCACACATTGTAGAACGTTGTCTTGTTGCTCTCCAGCTTGGCTGTTTACCCTCCAGCAGAGGAGTAATAAAGTCTCAATTTGTGGGTAATTTAGCTGAAAAATCTATGGGCTTAAATTGAGATCTGGAATTGGAAAATGAGGCTGGAGAATCTCTGGTGGTGACAACTTCAGCTGGTGAATCACAGGAAGAGCCAGCACTGCTTTGATTGCCATCAGGAGTACCTGAAGTCAGACTGAAAAAAAGGGGAATGTAACAGGAGGATATGGAAAATACAAGAGCAGCATTTTTGGGGCAATGCGTTAATTTAAATAGGCTTATCATTCAACAACTTTAACATATATATATATATGTGAAAAAACAAGCTTTAAACACACACTTAACTGTCTTTTAAAGTGACCTAACTATAGACTCTAATTTTACCTGATTGCCACTAAATAGGGTTTCATGGGACTAACTGCAGCTTGAATTCCAGGAAGGAATTTTACATTTTAAATGACATTAAACAGGTCGTATGGAAAAATAACTGAAATATTGATTGCTTTAAGATATTAGGAACAGGTATATTGCTAATGCAAAGCAGTCTAATTTCCTCAAAGCAATCATCTGCATTTTAATTAACCAAAATGAGGAATTCTAATTCTTACTAAATTTCAGATGTTTAAAATTCTGGTTTTGATTAGCTATTAAAGTCTCTTTAAAAGCAAATATTAGTCACCTTCAAACACAGTTTTATATTTCATATAAAAATACAAAAAAGTCTACAATAATTTTGCTCTCCAGCCAAACCATAATATTTTATCAAGTAGTTAATTAATTCAGCTGACTCAAAGAATTGCTTATACATTAGAAATGGTCAGGCAGTGGAACATATACAAATAAAGAAATGACCGTTTGAAATGAATCATTCAGGCAACTCTATCATCATTTTTATCTTCTATTACAGGAATTCTTAAACTGGGTGCCCTGACAACACTACAACTGCCAGCAGGCTCAGTGGCAATGGCAACTTATACCTCACAATATGTGGTATTAGTAAGGCCCTACTTAACTTGCAATATTGCGGAAATTGCAGTTTCCGCACTATTCGGCTTCTACCGCAATTTTGACAGCTGGAGCTCAGTCCCAGGCAGCCGACAGGGAGTCCCCTGGTGGCTGACAGCAAAAAATCATGGAAAAGTAATAATGGACGTTATTATTGTAAATAATATGGTCGATTATTATTTTTCCTCAATTTTCTATGGCTTGTTCACAACTCAGCCACAATTTTTTGACAATTATCCCAAAATTCAAGTAGGTGCTTAGGTATTAGGAAAAAAGTGCATTAAAACATATCTACTGATTACATGTTTTACAGTATATATCATAGCAAAATTATAACTATGTAGGGTTATTACTATTATTTTCTTCTCTAAAAACATTCAAAACAAAAAACCTTCACTCTTTCCTTTAAACCAGATGTTCAGTATAATTTGCTGCATAGTTCATTTTCTCTATCTTAGCACAGTCACAGCTCATATGCAGAGAGATCAGACTAGCATTCACCATACGTAACTAAGAGCAAGAGAGTATAAAAAAGTGACAATTTGCATTAATATGCAAAATTAAAAGGCAAATTATCTTAAGATCTGAAGCTATTTGCTCCAAAATAGCCAATCATTGGGGGTCTAATCTCCATACCTGCTTAACTCCCATAAATGCTAGGCATATCAATACGAGAACAGAAGTCATTTATCTGTTTCTGAAGTCCTTAAATTATAGGCACTGGTACCCAAATATCCAGTTTGTTTGCAATACTTATCTGGATATGCTGCAAAAATCTAAGGCTTATTATATATAACAGTATTTGACTTCAAGCATGCCCACCCATGCCTCATGTCTAGAAAAAGAGACTGAAAACATTTGAGCAGTTTCTGATGAAAGTTACAAGCCACAGTGATGCTTACCATGCACCAAGGTCTGTCAGATGTGAAACTTCAGGAGAAAGCATGCTAGTAGTTCCTTGAAAAAATCTCTTTGGCTCATCTTCAGTATCCATTTCACCTTTAACAAAACCATACAATCAGATTCATATTATGCACTAACTGTTAAAATACAACTCTGTCCTGATTTAGAGGGATCATTAGCATAGCCACTTTAGATAAACTTCTATCTTAGATCTGACGCAGATGAACATAATAGATTGTGACACATTTATACACATTCTTAACATTCAGATGTTTTCCCCCTTCTCTAAAATGCATATTAATTTGAATTTTCCAAATACACCTCAAGAATGGGTGGGATACAAGTGCTTTACTATGCCACAGTAAAGACAGGAGGATCTGGGGAACTACAGGCCAGTCATCCCAGTCCCTGGAAAAATCATGGAGCAGGTCCTCAAGGAATCAATTCTGATGCACTTAGAGGAGAGGAAAGTGATCAGGAACAGTCAGCATGGATTCACCAAGGGCAAGTCATGCCTGACTAACCTAACTGCCTTCTATGATGAGATAACTGGCTCTGGGGATGAGGGGAAAGCGGTGGATGTGTTATTCCTTGACTTTAGCAAAGCTTTTGATACGGTCTCCCACAGTATTCTTGCCAGCAAGTTAAAGAAGTATGGGATGGATGAATGGACTATAAGGTGGACAGAAAGCTGGCTAGATTGTCGGGCTCAACGGCTCCATGTGTAGTTGGCAGCCGGTATCAAGCGGAGTGCCCCGAGGGTCGGTCCTGGGGCTGGTTTTGTTCAATATCTTCATTAATGATCTGGAGGATGGCATGGACTGCACCCTCAGCAAGTTTGCAGATGACACTAAACTGGGAGGAGTGGTAGATATGCTGGAGGGTAGGGATAGGATACAGAGGGACCTAGACAAATTAGAGGATTGGGCCAAAAGAAATCTGGTGAGGTTCAACAAGGACAAGTGCCGTCCTAAGTGTAGGACTCTGAAGTATCCCATGCACTGATACAGACTAGGCACCGAGCGGCTAACCAGCAGTTCTGCAGAGAAGGATCTAGGGGTTACAGTGGACGAGAAGCTAGATATGAGTGGACAGTGTACCCTTGTTGCCAAGAAGGCTAATGGCATTTTGGGCTGTATAAGTAGGGGCATTGCCAGCAGATCGACGGACGTGATCGTTCCCCTCTATTCGACATTGGTGAGGCCTCATCTGGAGTACTGTGTCCAGTTTTGGGCCCCACACTACAAGAAGGATGTGGAAAAATTGGAAAGAGTCCAGCGGAGGGCAACAAAAATGATTAAGGGGCTGGAGCACATGACTTATGAGGAGAGGCTGAGGGAACTGGGATTGTTTAGTCTGCAGAAGAGAAGAATGAGGGGGGATTTGATAACTGCTTTCAACTACCTGAAGGGGGGTTCCAAAGAGAATGGATCTAGACTGTTCTCAGTGGTACCAGATGACAGAACAAGGAGTAATGGTCTCAAGTTGCAGTGGGGGAGGTTTAGGTTGGATATTAGGAAAAACTTTTTCACTAGGGGGGTTGTGAAGCACTGGAATGGGTTACCTAGGCAGGTGGTGGAATCTTCTTCCTTAGAGGTTTTTAAGGTCAGGTTTGACAAAGCCCTGGCTGGGATGATTTAGTTGGGGATTGGTCCTGCTTTGAGCAGGAGGCTGGACTAGATGACCTCCTGAGGTCCCTGTCAACCCTGATAGTCTATGATATTAACCTAAATATAACGAAACACTAACCTCAAAGGATAACATTAGCAAAGAGACACAGACAATGACAATTTGAAATGCCCAGTGGATTAAAACTGTCAACACCATTAACAATTATTAATTTGAACGTTTAAGTACTACGGATACCGATATTAAAATATTTACCTACTTCTTAGTTTCATTAATTGAGTTATCTAGTGCTTTGAAAGTCAGTGAAAAAGCATCCTCCATTCAAACAGTTCTTAAGTTATTGTATTGAGATCCTTTCAACACTCCCCAAAGTAATTTGTAAAACTCCCTCAATAACAATAATTTATTTTCTCATTGAAGTCCATTTTGAAATACGTGCAGTTCAAAGGGGCTGGGATAAATTAGAAGGGAAGGTCTCCCAGCAGCAACTTCCAATTGACAGATTCTCTCAGAGAGAGAAAGATGCATCTCAAGAGCGTTTCACACACAACCTGGCCCACCACATTCCCTTCCTTCTATGGAACAATACAGCTTGGTTATCAGTACTTTAAACATGACTTAACGAGCCACAATGTTACTGTTATGGAAGTGAAGGGTGAGAAAGCTTTTAAAAGCAGATGCAATACAATGACTGTTGAAATGGAGGCTAAGAGAAGCAAGTGTAGGTGTACAGATTGAGGGACACCTTCCAAAACTTAAACAACTTCTAAATAAAATTACAAGATGATGTGGCTATGCTTTTTCTGGGCATCTGGATGGTGAATTTTGAGGCCTGTAGTGAATCAGAATGCAGAGGTTTGTGTACCTATAACAGGGCTCAAAAAAGAACTAGATAAGTTAATGAAGGATAGATCCATCAATGGCTATTAGCCAGGATGTGCAGGGATGCAAAAACATGCTCTAAAGTTTCCCTAGCCTCTGTTTGGCTGGGAATGGACGACAGGGAATGGATCACTTGATGATTAACTGTTCTGTTCATTCCCTCTGAAGCACCTGGCATTGGCCACTTTGGGAAGACAGGATACTGGGCTAGATGGACCATTGATCTAACCCAGTATGGCCATTCTTATGTTCAACCCCTGTATGGTTACCAAGAAAACTGTATGCTTGTGATTTTAACTCTACAGCATCTCTGTGCTTCAATTAGCTGGGATCTTTCTATAAATGAATGGAAGTGTACCAAGAATTCCTTAATTCCTTTATATTAGAGGACCCATTGGTGCTTTACCAAACGTGTAATCTTGCATCAGTGGATGGGTAGTAGGACAGAGTGACCACTTTAATTATAGATTTATTGTATAGTTAATTTTTCAACTATTGTACTTCAGCAGCCCAAACGCCCAGCCATTTCTTTATAGCATACCTTTTGCTAAAACTCAATTGTTTCCTAGCAAGTATCAGTCCAAAAACAGGACTATCAAGAAAGCTATATGAACTATTTAAAAGTTAACAATTACAAACACATGCTGTACCTTTTCTTTTCATTGGCCCAAGAACACTTGGGCGAATACAGTGAATAGGACTCTGACTTCTCCTGCTAAAAGAGTATAAACAGTATTGGTAAATGATAACTGGCATAAATAGCATGGAAAACAACTACAAGTGAGGAACAAGCATATTCAGTGCAAGCTGCTCTGTTTAAGAGCAAACACCAACATAAAGGGAAGTAGGCAATAAGACTGGATAGCCCCAACCAAAAAAATCTTTTAAAAAACAAACACAAGACATGACTGACTCTTAAAAATGTAACCGCAGAATACTATACCGGAAAGCCTGGTTCACATACTGAAGTCTTCAAAAAGCATTCCCAACATTTCCTCTAATACAGTCATCTATATGAGCAAGCAAGTTTCTCTACAATGTACTTTTAGCGCTTGCATCCAACTAAAACCCATGAGCACACAAACCTGGTCAGGTTCTCCTACTCCTACTGAAGGTGGGTCCATGAGTAACTCAAAGTAAGCCACCCCTCTAAGTACAAATCTAGCAGGGTGCTGTCCTTTGAGTCTGAAGATTAGTAGCAGGACTAGTTAGATTCACCATCTGTCTGCATTATGTTGCTGGACAAAACCCTGAGGGCCAAAATATTTTGGCTTGCACAGACTGGTGAAGACTGTGAATGACCCAGGAATTTCAGGACAGAGAGACAGCCCTGGCCACTGGTAAAGTAAAATTAAAAATGCCCAAGGTCCCTGCAGTAACAGTCATTTCTGTCAGAAATACAAGGTCACTTACAGCAACAGATTTGGCAGTTAAATCCCTTTTCACCTGTACTCAGAACCACACCCTCCACAGCCCACCAGTGACTTTCAGCACCCTGGCCACCCATAAAAGTTATCCTATTTCTGGCAACATTAAATTAAAGTGTGAGAAAGACAGTAATAAGAAGCCTCTCTGACAGGCAACCTGTAACACCATGAAGCCATGATCTCTAATTGGGTCCTATAGATGCTATTATAATTTAAAAACTTAAATGTTTCCTCTTAATACTTTTTGCTAATCTACACAGGCTGGTATTGTCCCAGTTTCAAAACCTGAGAATTAATTCATCATCTTTTGATAGAAGTTCATTCTACTCTGTATGTGATTATGTGCTAAACAAAACCTATTGAAAAATCGGATACAGGCTGCATTGTAACCCAGCTTCCTGATGTCGGGAATATATATTTTGGTACTTTATAAACTCTAGAATTTAAGTTGTATGGATTTACTATGTGAGCTGGAGATCTGAGTCACCAAAAACATAACTTAAACATAGTAAATCTAAACTAAGTCCTAATATTTCAGATGCCTCAAGTGAACAATCCGTATTAACAGTATGCAGAGTCAATTTTACAGACTTGTACGTACTTTAAGAATCGTCTTGTTGGACTGGGGCTAGGGCTTGGAGGTAATCCACTGCTACTCACCAAACTTTGCAAAGACGGTGAGAAACATTGCTGAAATCAAAATATATTGCAATATTTAAATATAAACATCATGCTTCATTCCTACTGCAGCAAACTAATCAAAATTCTCGACATACAGAGAACTAGAGGGACTTGAGGAACACAACTAGGGCCTTAATAAGAGAATTTTACCATATTAAAACAAGCACGTCATCATTCTTCTAAAATGATTACCCGATCTATTTGAATGGGAAAGTATCACTTTTGGTTAAGTCTTGAAGAAAGTTCTAGAACAATTTAGACTGATTTCTCATGTACATACAGAGTGCATGCAAGTTGATAGTACACCTCTACCTCGATATAATGCTGTCCTCAGGAGCCAAAAAAATCTTACTGCGTTATAGGTGGAACCGCGTTATATCGAACTTGCTTTGATTCACTGGAGTGCGCAGCCCCGCCCCCCCCGGAGCACTGCTTTACCGCGTTATATCCGAATTCGCGTTATATCGGGGTAGAGGTGTATTATATTGATCAGAATATGTATGTATCTCTTTACCTTGGAACAAACCAACTGAGTTAGCTCCTAAAAAAACCCACTTTCCCCCAAAGAAAGGCAGACAAAGAATATGGCTTTTATTTATCACCAATGTACCAACAATTTATCAATAAATATACCTACTGCATATTGACATTTATGAGATATTCTGTAGATAAATTCATGGGTTGTACAGCTGTTAGCTTGCCTTTTTAATATTTTAGTTCCCTATCTGCAGTGAATGCCCATTCAGAAGTCAGGGATATGGGAAGTTTCATCCCTTGCTGATGTTAGTGCTAAACAAAAATCTAACTATCGGTACTCATGAAGGAAGACCTCTACCACTTCATTTTTCTTACCTTCCCTATTCCTCTGGTGGGTGAAGGAGCTGGAGAAACTGGGACAAAGTCTATTTGCTTGGGAGAGGATGATTTCTCAAAATCACTGTCACTCTATAAGTATAACAGATCATGTAATTACAGCCGATTGCTTTAATGCAATATTTCATGGGCCAGGCTATACAATATTATACAAAGCATTGCTTTGCTGTGGAATGGAATCACATGATGCAAGCCACCCTCACAAATGGCTACATGTAAGAATTAGTTACTATGACTACCTAGGAGACAAATTTCATACTTTTGAGGAAACAAAATAATGTTAAACATTATGTCCTGATATTAAAGTATCTATAAAACAGAAAGATATAGACATGACCAGAACTACCTTTTGACACATCAGGAAAAACTATGTCCCAATAGCTGTAGTGACAGCCATGTGTCATTGAGCTACTGGTGATTTCATACCTTATTAGTACAAAACTTGTTATAAGGCAGCAATAAAAAGTGTATTACTAGACAGAAACAATTTGATGTTAAACAGCAAGCCTAATCTGTTTGATTTTCCTCTAAAGGAAATTTAAGATACTATGGACAACAAAATGCAGCAATATGAGATGTTAGAACACTGAAGATAGAAACTCAAATCTAAAGCATAAACACATTACCAGGCTCAAGCTTTCCTCCCATGACTGGCTGATCTGCATTGCTGTTTGTACTTCCCTATAAAGAAGAAAAAAAATTCATCGTCACTGGCCCAGAGACACAGAGTTTAGGTACTCTCATTTGCATACTAACACTCACCGTTCATGTACTGTTTCTCTGTTCATCAAATCCATTCCTTCTTCCTGAAAAATAATAATATAACACCGAAACAGTTAAGAGTTGGTTTATAGAGCTTTCTTTTGCTAAAATGAGACAGACAAACTCTTCCTCTTCAGGTCACAATTTGGATGGGAGTCTCACCTCATTCCATACACCATTAGCATACCCAGTGAGTGTGCAACTTATGCAGAACAGAGCATTTTACTGATGGTTAGTAAATTGTTCCACATTATGGAATTTTTTATTGTTTCTTCTAAAAAACTAAGAAATTCTACAAAAAAAAAACCTTGTTAAAATGTATTAAGCTAGCAAAACAAAGCATTTTTTTTTAAGAAAAAGAAATTGCACGCACAAACTTAATTCACTCCCTGTATGTATACATTACAATACTGTTTTTAAATACACAAGCATGTACCATTCCTCAGAACTCATTCAATGTATAGATTGGACGGTGTGCAGTGTAGGGTGACCAGATGTCCCGATTTCACAGGGACAGTCCTGATTTTTGGGTCTTTTTCTTATATAGGCTCCTATTACCCCCCACCCCGTCCCGATTTTTCACATTTGCTGTCTGGTCACCCTAGTGCAGTGAAACATGGTAGGGATCCATTTATTGAACAGAGGAGGAATACATATAGGTTAGATGATTCATCCACTGCTCGCTGGCATCCTAGGCATTGAATGATGCAGTCTATGTAATTGAAGACTATTAAGAAGGTTGTTTTTTTAAGGCACAAACGGACACTAAGTGCCTAACACCCATTAATGCTTTTGTCAATCTCCTCCTATAGTAACACATGTTTTCAAGGAGTGCAGCTTTAACTCTGACATATCCTGCTTTAACTTTAACCTATTTTTAATGGAGTATTTATATGGAATAATTACTATGACTATGCAACAATATAGGCCTCAAATTCCCCCAAATCGGAAAGCTAGCAAACAGTTACTATACTACCTTCTAGCTAGAAGTTTTAATAGAAATACAGTGTCAAATATGAAGTAACATATATTGTGCCTTCCCTGCACCTCCCTTCCATCCCATTTGTGTGTACATATTAACATTAGTCCTTTCCTATATTAAGAATAAAAGGAACTTTCCGTCTGACTGCTTGTCCTTGTTAAAGCTAGTAAATGAATAAATTACACAATAAAAACAAAACAGGCAGTGCATTTCTTCAGGATTACTATGTGCCTCAAGTGTTTGAGGCAGCAGGAAGCTGGAGACCAAGTACCTTCAACCACTTGCAACATGTACCCTGGAAATATAATGCCTGGAGAGTTAAATTGCTTTTACAAAATGAGAAAAATAAAACTCACAAGATTTACAAGCATTTGGAAATCATGTGTTTTCCAAAGTGAGACTTTAAAAGGCAGGCTATCATATGGAACAGCTTTAACTAAACATTTATTTTAACAGCTTAAATCCCTATAATAGAGTTTATACTATTAGAGGCTTCCTTCTGAGAATTTACATTTTATGATTCTTCCTCTTCTTCCAAAAGAAAACCAAGATAACTGGTTTTTGTATTAAATCTAACTGTACTTTGAAACAGGCTTGTATTCAAAACAGAAGTGCATTCTTACTTCACCGTTTTAATGAACTTACTGCATTAATAGATTTGGGCAAGGTATAGTAACCAGGGTTGGGGTTTTTTTGTTTGTTTTTTTAAACAAAAGTGGATAACTCAGCACCACCAATGTTTCACAAGGAGGAAGATTAGGTGGTACGGAAAGTGTGAAGGTGTGGGACTGTATACCATTATCCTGATATCCCTCAACTTCACATTAGCTTGTCAGCTTTGAGAGTCTCCAAGCTTAACATGCAGCAATCAGCAGCAACCTTCTTACCTTGATGGACGCTGCACCCAACTGCTTCAGTGCTGAACATAGGTATATCTCCTGTCAGTTTCTCTGACCAATTAAATACAGCATGCCATGCTGTACTACACTAAACTTTTAGGTTTGCCCGATCACGGAGACTGAGATTTGACCACCACAGACTCCACTGAATATCATTTTATGGTTATGCACAATTCAATTGGGAGGAAGGCAGGCAGTCTATCTGAGCCCAGAAAAATGCCACTGACTAAGTTCTAGAGTGCAAATGGGGCTGGAAGAGATAGGGACCACCAGCTTTCTACGTGGGGAGAAAGATGTCTGATGGCTAACCACTTTTATAAACGGGACAAAATCCTGGTTTCAGTATAATATATTAGGACACATTCTATATTTTCTGTAAACTTTTGTATCTCTGGAAACTGATTCAACCTGTGACTATTAAATGCACCTTGAAGTGACAGATTTTTGCTGAACACTCTTTACAGATCAGCTATTACTTCTGAGTGAAGTCATCGATGATCATGAGTAGGATACACCAGCTTGTGTAAAGCCAATAAAGCAAGCTTTCTATGTCTTGTTATTTACAAAACAGAACTAGAATCATCTCTTACCTGTTTGATTTGATGAAGGCGGCTGCTAGGAATACGTACAGGAGATGATGGAATCAACTGGAAAACAAACACCATATAGCTGAAACATTTTTAAAAACTGCAAAATCAGGAAGGTTAGACACTATCTTTTTTCTAATATGTTATTTCATTCTCAAAAAGATAACAAATAGCCACTTCAATATCACCAAAATAGCATCTAACACACTTTGCATATGTTAAATGCAATACATTTTGCATACAATTATAAATGTATATTAGTTTTATAAGTGAGAGCACTAGACTATTTCATTATGAAATTGCTCTGTTTGCTTAGAAATTACTCCTAATTATTGTGTGCCAACTTCCATCCCACTTCAGTCTCACACTACTAAATACCCTCACCTTCCATGAACTGTATTGGCAATACTGGCCACCCATCGCGGTTGCAACAGCACAATAGGTAAGGAAGCATAAGCACTTCCATCTTAAAGCTGTTGTAAGTTGCTCATAATGCTAAAAATAAAAATCTATTGAGCAGAAGTTTTCCAGGGCTGGTCTCTGCCTGCAGGTTAATATTTTTGACATGACAGAGAGATTCAGCCATTAAAGTGTAAGGAGAGTGAAAACATTTCTCAAGCTCTTCTGCCCTCAACAGCTCTACAGCTTAAAATGACAGAAAGTTAAAATAGGACAGTGAAATGGCCTCACTGAGTAGAAGTGAATTTGAGCATGCTGTTTGAGCATCTTCTCCCTTGCTGTTGCATAGAACAAATAAAAAAACAAAACCCATAAAATGATATCTATTAACAAGGAAAAATCTGAAGGCTCAAATACAAAGCCAATCTGGCAGACCCCCCAGGGACTCTAACTAGATTCTTTAGTTTTATACTTAACTTGACTGCTAGTTTGATAAAAATGATAATTTATGAACTCCTAGACATTGAACCAACAACTTACTGTAGTTCATCAAAGAAAGCAAAACTTTCATAATGATTCTCAGCATAGACCATTCTCAAGATGTAGGACAGGTCTTATTAAATCTTTTTAGTGGAATTTCTTAATACACCACTACATACTACAATTAGTTACAAGCAAATTTACTTTGAATCAATGATTGAGTCCTTCTCTTTCCCTTACCATTAACACATTTGAGTAATTTATGGTGCTCTTGACCATCAGGGACCATAAGCCTTAGGCATGAATCACACAGTTCTGCTAATGACCTATTTCTCTTGAACAAAGATCAGTCTTGCCAAGTTATGTTGTGGCTTTGTAATGAGGAGGAGTGTTACAGGGGTGAAGGCCTCATTCTTTAAGTGTCTGTCATTCTTTCAGACTGCATGGAATCTGCCAGGTGAAAAGTAAAGGGAATCACAGAGCATAAATTACACGGACTTTCTAGTCATTAAACATCACCCTGCAGATGGTGGGCTTCCTCCGTTTCACACAAAACATGCCTTAAGTTTTCTACAAGTCCAAAGCTACAGGATGCGGATCAGCATTCAATCACCAGCCAGCTGTACCTTACTTAAATTAGTGCCATGGAGAATGCAAATTGATCCTCCTAGAAAGACAAGGTAAGTGAGGTAATATCTTTTATTAGATCAACTTCTGTTGGTCAGAGAGACAAGCTTTTGAGCCAGACACAGCTCTTCTTCAGAGATCCTCCTATTTTTTTTAGAGGTAGAAAAGTCACACAGAGAATAGAACTTTTATGGTTTGCTTTATAAACTTGGACTGCCTACACTCAAATCCAAGCAGCATGCGCTACTTGCTTGGGGAATGAGCGCATTTAAGAGATGGTCTCTCAGGACAATAAGCTGAACACAAGACCAACAAAACAGTCTGCTTACAACTAGTCCTGGAAGCAGGACTCAATCAACAAAGAATTAAAGGAAGGTAGCGTAATAAATGCCAATAAACATTTCCACAAAAGCATTAATGGTAATCTGGGTTACCACCTGCAACTCAAAGCTCCTGGCTGGTGAAAGACGCAAAATCCTGCTACTCACCTAGAACTTTAAACCACTGCTCAGTGCAACTGACTTCACAAATTATTGCCCAGCATCTAATTTTCATTTTCAAGTTAGCTGGTCACAGAAAACAGTCTCCAGTTTCAACTGTCAACTCAGCACTCTGAACCACTGACTCTCAATCACATTTTAGTCCCGAGAACAGACCAGTGAGTCATGAGGAAACTCCAAGGTGAGGGCTCCAGAGGTGGAGGAACCAGTTTCCCATCATAATCCTTTGGGCTGAGTTTGAGAGGAATTAATGGATTCATGTCAGGGTGTCCTATTCACCCTGTGACCTTTTGATGTTCAGACAGCAATAGTATCAAATGTTAAAGATGAATTCAAGCATTGTGTAAACATCTTGGTCTTCTCTTTTCCGATGTATAGTGCTGGTTTACTTGTTTTATACATTGGCACTTAAAATTTATTTGGTTTGTTTTAAGAAAAAAATATTGAAAGAGTTTAATAATAAATAAGAGCTCCTCTTGGACTTCAATACTACTGGATTTTCAAATAGCTACAACTGTGAAAGATTATGGTCCATCTGCAGAGAACCGCAAGACAACAGCTCATCTATCAAACTTGGACCTGGATAAGTGAAATATATTTTTGTGACCTCCCAACTTGAAACTCCTAGGCAGAAATGTAGCTACTTGCCCTTAAAAAGTTCCAACTGGTACAGAATACAGAAGTCCACCTGCTGAGCAACATAGGATGCCACAAGCATATCGGTTCAGTGCTCTATTTCACTGTCTCCCTATTGACCACTCCAGACTGAATTAAGAACTTGAAATTTATTATTTACAGTTAGAAACTATGAACAAACTCTGGTCCTAATAATCTGAACGAGCCCACTGAACGTAACTCAGGGCTGTCGATGTAGTCATGGTTAGTATCTGGGAACTGCAGCCCAATGCCTGATCTAAGAGTGTGTTTCACCCCAAGAGAGACAATGGCTTGTGGTCTGAGAGCTGGAGATGGGTGCATACAAAGAGGTCAGAGTGAGTTGCAGTTAGTCTCCTACCTGTGATATCTCCACACCCACAGAGGTGGGGCTGGAATTTTGTATGGAAGCACAATCAAAGCATGAGAAACACTGATTATAATTCTAGACATACTTCAAACTGTTTCCTTAACAGCAGACTAACACAAACTAGGCAGACAGTGTTACTGACTGCACCTCAATCAGAAGGAACTTAAATCTTCTTAATATGCCAAAAGTGTTAATATAGTATTAAAAACATGTTGCCTACATGATTAAAATTAAAATACAGTCACATTCTCAGACCCACTTTTCTCTCACGCAGTATCATAGCCAATGAGGTTAATCCGAGGCGTGATTATTGCTAGTTGAAACTAAAATTTAATTTGCATGAAAACTTGGATGAACTTTTCTGAATTCCAAAGGTTAATTTTATGAAAGGAAGAAAGTACTTTTTAAAAAAATCATTAAACACCCCATTAAAGTTAATCCTGTTTAGTATTTTTTTAAAAACATTTCCCCACGCAACCTAAGACTATACCTACATCATCTACTATACTCAACCATTGTAATAAGCCACCATATGATGCAAGTTTCTACATTACTGGTTCTGCCATCAGAAAAGTGCATTAGTAGTCCTTTAATGCACACCCTGGCTGGTTTATTAAAAGAATATAGCTCCTTCATGTTACACTTCTTTTTCAAATCTTTTCAAAAACACAAGTTTTAGGGTTTTATGCAATGTCTGCTGAAAAAGATTATTTCATAACAGAACAATAAGACTGGTAGAAAAAAGGATGAACACTATTCTTAATAACTTGCTTCTTTTCCTTTAAAGTATTCTGGATTAGTTGAGTCCCATCTTTATATACCTGAGATCCAACGACATTTCAGTAGCAACACTAATTAGCTACTGATCTGATTTTTGTCCTAGAAAAGGAGAGTTTAATCAGCAGTTTCTGGCCACCTATTGTCATCTGGGATCCTCTAGAAGGGACAGTTTAAAACTGCAATTGCCCCCCACTCCCTCCTTTTAGAACATAAGAACGGCCGTACCAGGTCAGACCAAAGGTCCATCTAGCCCAGTATCCTGTCTACCGACAGTGGCCAATGCCAGGTCCCCCAGAGGGAGTGGACCTATAGGCAATGATCAAGTGATCTCTCTCCTGCAATCCATCTCCATCCTCTGACAAACAGAGGCTAGGGACACCATTCCTTACCCATCCTGGCTAATAGCCATTAATGGACTTAACCACCATGAATTTATCCAGTTCTCTTTTAAACGCTGTTATAGTCCTAGCCTTCACAACCTCCTCAGGTAAGGAGTTCCACAAGTTGACTGTGTGCTGTGTGAAGAACTTCCTTGTATTTGTTTTAAACCTGCTGCCTATTAATTTCATTTGGTAACCCCTAGTTCTTGTATTATGGGAATAAGTAAATAACTTTTCCTTATCCACTTTCTCCACATCACTCATGATTTTATATACCTCTATCATATCCCCCCTCAGTCTCCTCTTTTCCAAGCTGAAGAGTCCTAGCCTCTTTAATCTCTCCTCATATGGGACCCGTTCCAAACCCCTAATCATTTTAGTTGCCCTTTTCTGAACCTTTTCTAGTGCCAGTATATCTTTTTTGAGACGAGGAGACCACATCTGTACGCAGTATTCGAGATGTGGGCGTACCATCGATTTACATAAGGGCAATAATATATTCTCAGTCTTAATCTCTATCCCCTTTTTAATGATTCCTAACATCCTGTTTGCTTTTTTGACCGCCTCTGCACACTGTGTGGACATCTTCAGAGAACTATCCACAATGACTCCAAGATCTTTTTCCTGACTTCTTGTAGCTAAATTAGCCCACATCATATTGTATGTATAGTTGGGGTTATTTTTTCCAATGTGCATTACTTTACATTTATCCACATTAAATTTCATTTGCCATTTTGTTGCCCAATCACTTAGTTTTCATCTCCCATCTCTTACTTTGCCAGCAATGATGCTTGTCTTGGGAGCTTTAAAATATTAATTTTACTTAAAAGCCAAATTGGTAGCCCTAAACCATATCCCAATTCAGCCTACTTCATATCAAAACAGCCTGACCCACTTAATCAGAGCTGCGGACCTTCACAGCCACACTGTTTCTAAGGGCATGTCTACACTACAAACTTAAGTTGACGTAGGTCCACATACAGCCACCACACTAATTACTGTGGTTTTTCAGGTCAACACTACCCTCCTTCTGTCAGTAGTACACATCCTCACCAGAAGAGCTTGCACGGACTAAAGAGGGGCAACATTAAGGTCTGAGAGCTCGGGCTCGCAGCTCCACACAGAGCTCCCCGCTGGGAGCTTGGCTGCCCAAGGTGACAGCCTGAGCTGTGAGCCCCATATAGGGTTCACAGCAGGGAGCCAACCAGCCTTTCTTGACAATTTCACTGTTGCCTCAGGCTCAGAGAGAGGGGCTCACAGCTGAAGCTCACAAGAAAGGCTGGTAGGCTCCTGCTGTGAAATTGAGCCCAGCACTGGTCTCACAGCTAGGGCTGTCACCCCGGCGTGTGGGATGGGAACTCCAGCTGTGAGCCCCAGCCCAACTGACAGCTGTGAGCCGCCAGCTGTGAGCCTGGTACTGGGCTCAATTTCATAGCAGGGAGCCTACTAGCCTTTCTTGTCAATTTCACAGCTCCAACTGTGAGCCCCAGGCTGCAGAGCAGAGCTGTGAAATTGACAAGAATGATAGCCAACAGCACGCAGTGTCTACACAAACACTGCGTCGCCCTAATTACACTGACATAAGCACTATGCTTCTCGTGGAGATGGAGTTATTATGTTGGTGTAGTAGGGCACTTATATCGGTGGGTGCAAGGCTGTACTGTAGACACTGACATACTTAGGTCAAGCTGCCTTACGTTGAACTAACTCTGTAGTGTAGGCCAGGCGTAAGACGATGTATACACAAGAAAAAAGCTGGGAATAGCTATTCTGCACTCATTTCTTAGGGCAGTAGCACGTCTGGTGAAGACGCTCTATGTCGACAGGAGAGCACTCTCCTGTCAGCATAATTACTCCACCTCTGGGAGAGGCGGAAGCTATGTCGGCAGGAGAGCATATCCTGCCGACATAGTGCCAGTGTGGACTGCGCTTAGGTCGCTGTAACTTGCCTTATTCAGGGGGGTGTCTTTTTCACACCCCGAGCGATGTAAATTATATTGATTCAAACGGTAGTGTAGACCTGCCCTTAGTACAAAATAAGAGCGTTGACATGGGAAAATGGTGTAGAATAGCTGTTGTGCTCTAAATTCACACCTTAGCTAATTCCCTGAATAGACAAGTCCTAAAGTGAACAAGGAGTTGCTTTAGGGTTCCCAACTCAATCTTATAAGTAAGATTAACACTTTAAGATATCAGTTACTGACAAAAGACAGGTTGAGGGGAAGGACGAAGGAAAGAGGAAACTTTAGCGAATGGGATTTATAGATTTTAGATGCCTTTTAAACTAATATATTTAAAATAAAGGGTAATATTAAAGATATATCTCCACTGAAACAAATTAAACACTGGTAGTATGGATTTTTTTGTCTTCTGATGAGCAGAATCAGCTGTGCGTTACTGACAGCTAGTGAATTGCCCTAACATTAAAAAGGCCCAGTTAGCTGATCTGAATGGGGCTTGGAAAGACAGCATATAATGTCATACTGTACATTCAAGTGTGCTCCACCATAAACTACAGAGACTGCATACATCTTAGCCAACTACCACGATTTCTGAGCTAGATTCCACCCAATTCCTACTGTGCATGGCCAGACTAGTAGAGCATAATGAATGGGGGTGAGGCACTCTGAAGGTGTAAGGAAGGATGTAAGATCCCCAGCAATACCAGATGTGCATGACTGGAGAGAGGACTCTTCAGCTGAATTGGTGACCTGCTTTAGACCTCTTCTCTGGTCATGAAGTAGGGCTATTGGCCTTAATAAGGAGTACATTCTACACTTTTCCTGCAAGGCCACTCTGCTCCCAGCCAGAGAAATGGGCTCTCAATCCAAAAAACAATTACGCGTTTCCTTGCCTTTAGCAGTTCTTTCTGGCATCTTGCATATACTCTCAATTATCATCTCTCCCTTTCCTGGGAAATATCTGTCTCTTACTAAGTAAGCAGATACCTCATTCTCTGGAATATTTTTACTACTGCTGTTGGTATGGCGGTCCATTGCTAACAGTTACTTTTCTTCGCGCCCCAACCTTATTTATATTGCCTGCTTCATCTTCATGTTTTGGGTCACTTGTGAGATCACCAATACCCTTTTCTAAACCATTGTAGATCTTATTAAAAAAAAAAAGTAACAAAATCAAAAAGGTAACTTCTATGAAGTACGTGAAATATCTTTAGTTCAGTTAATCTTCAGGACAGACTAGGGAACTAGATCACGCCACTTGCTCCTCTTTGGCTTTGTATCCAGGTCAACTGAAAAAGAACTTTAGTGTTTCAAAACTGTTTTTCTTAAAGGGCTACTGCCCTCTTTGTAAGTGCTGACTCTTGCTGACCACTGTTTAAGTGAATCTCTTCAATACCAAAGGAAACCCAAGTGAACTGCTGGAAAGGAAAGCAATTTATTTTGGTCTGAAAGCAAGGATAGAAATTTCAGCCTAAAATTTAACTTCAAACAAATGCCCAAATAGAAGGACTTCTGACTAAATGTTTCCTCAACCATAATTACAGTGTTACTGGCACTATATCATGTTTTGTTTCTTAAGCAGCAAGCACAAGGCTTTTATGTTGTGCTCATCTGTTGAGGCCTTTAAATAAAGGATCTCAAAACTACTACAAAAACAAATGCCCTTCAAACCAGTTGTTTGGCCTAGTTTTGAAATGGAATTTTAGCTTTTTGGAGGGTGAAGAGGCTGTATGGAAGGGGTGGACAGGAATTAAAAGTTATCTCCACTTAAAGTAACCCAAATAGCAATCAATCAATCAATCATCAAGTTAGCATATGTCTAAGCATCTTGTATACTGTATGTAAGAAAAAGAAACTGACATTAACACAAGATACTCCATCCATCCAGTACATTAGTTGTGCATTGTATGCAATCGACATGTTACTGCACTTATGCCAATTTCTTATAGTTAGAAAACATTTTAAGAGAAATGTAACAGTTTTCGGTTAAATTTTATATTTTTTAAATGTAGGCAAAAATTCCACTTCGTTAAAAAAATGAGAACTGTTTTTCCGCCCCATGTCCCCCAGAAATGTATCAATTTATGTATCTGTGGTTCTTTCAATATGGTCAAGAAATCCTTTTTAAATATGCCTGCACAGACTCCAAATTACTATTGGATCAGTCCAGACTACCTTTTGACCATAACTCAGACTATAATGATTTACTTAAAAGAAACAATATTTTAAAATAGAAGTTGCATCTTCTTTGAGTTCATAAATAAGTACTGTGCTAAATTTTGAGGCAGACATTTACTAACAAAGTCATTTAAGTTTACAAAATTGTTATAGTGGAAATTTTTTAATTAAGATTGGATGGTTTTCTAAGATATATACTCTAGTTCAAACAGGCATTAATTCAGTGAAGTCCTATGGCCTATGTTTTACTGGAGGTCAGCTAAATGATCATAACAGTCCTTTCTGGCTTATAATTTACGATGCAATATAAATGTAAAATCAGTGGATTTATTTAAAAACAAACATTCAAAGCAGAGATTATTGAGACCTAGAAATAACTGACTGGTACTTCTGAATATACCAATTCTCTTTCCAAATTGGTCTTCTTATCCAATTTTATATCATCTGCTTAAATAAGTTATGAACTAGGTTGTCTTCAGAATGACACAAATATGTGTTCTAAAGCCAGATAATCTTTAAAAAGAATTTCACTACAGCTGCAAAATACACCTCTACCTCGATATAACACGACCTGATATAACACGAATTCGGATATAACGCGGTAAAGCAGTGCTCCGGGGGGACGGGGCTGCGCACTCCGGTGGATCAAAGCAAGTTCAATATAATGCAGTTTCACCTATAATGCGGTAAGATTTTTTGGCTCCCGAGGACAGCGTTATATCGAGGTAGAAGTGTATATAGTGTTAATTTTCAATTTACACCCTTCTCTTTAATCCTGTTTAGACCCAAATAACAAGTGGGCAACATGTTTGCGCTAAGCATTTTCTTACCAGACTATGACGATTCATCACTGTTGTACTGTTTCTGCGGGTTCGCAAAATGTTGGCCTGGAACACCTGTGAATTATCACTGTGAAAAGAAACACTTGTCAAATTCAAGAGCCATTTCCCTCTCCTTCACCTTCTAAAAAAATGCTTCAATATAAGCTATGTAAGTGTGTGCTTTCATCCTCTCTTAACCCAAAGTCAAAAACTCAAGCCTCTCTCCCCAAAACAAGTTCCAACTACCCCATTTAATGACATTAATCATGCTGAGTCCTCACTAGAGTGGCTGCAAACTTTTTATGGAGATGTGTCTTCTATGGAAATGTATGAGTTTAGAGTGTAGCTCTCTATACGCAGTCCTTAGCACCAAACACAATTCATTCACTAGAATTTGAGAGTACGCATAATCAATAGATGGACTGATGCAAGCCTCAATACCAGTGGTATCAAAGACAAATCACACTGCAGGTCAGAAGTTTGTCTCTGGAAGCACCTTATAAGTTACAACCCCTCTTCACCAAGGTGCTGATACAGCACTCAAAATGTTAAATTAAGCACTCAGTATATCCATTTAGAAAGTCCTAATTATTTTTTGAAGTGGTACCTTGGTAAAGATGAAGAGGAGGTTACTTATCTGTAACTGGACGTTCTTCGATATGTGTGGTCCCCATCTGTATTTCAATGTGGGTTGTGTGTGTGCACCATGTGCCCAGAGCTGGACAATCTGAAAGTAGTGTCCACTGGTCCACGAACGCGCCCTGAATCACCTCATGCCTCTGACCAAGGGGATAAAGAGAGGGGGAACTCTCCAGTTCCTTCCCTATCATGAATCATAGGCAATCCAAAGCAGAGGAGAAGGAGGGCGAGTAGTGGAATACAGCTAGGGACCACATATCTCAAAGAACATGTAAGAAACCTCTTCTTCTTCTTCAAGTGATGGTCCCTATTGTTTTCCACTGTGGGTGATTAACAAGCAGTAAATAGGAAGGAGAAGGGTGCACGGATGTAGACCACAGGTTCTCAAACTTTTTTTCATGCATACGAGAGTCCCTCCTGGGTTCCCGAGAAGATCTCGCCAGGGGTTCTGTAGAAGTAGATTATCTGGCACCAGTGTTGGAGGCTCACTCCTTGCCAAGTCAGGCCAATGCATATGTGTGTGTGTGTGTGTGTGGGTGGGTGGGAGGGAGGTCCCACCCTCAGGCCCTTTTCCATGAGGTGTTTTTGAATGGAGAGTTCCTGCCCTTCTCAAATATGGCTGGGGAATGATTGGCAGATACTGCACCTCACTGCGATGTGTGCTTCCCCGGGGCAGTACACAGTGCTGGTGGTCATCATTGACTGAGAAGGATCGTGGGCAGGAAGCGCAGAGTTTGAAGCCAGAGTCCTGGGCATAGTCTAGTACCAGCATGGGGATGTGAGCGGAGGGAGTGTTCCTCCAACAATTAATCTAGCACAAAAACTATGAAAACACCAAAACTATAAACTGTACAAGATGCTAAAAACTATTTACAAATCTAAATCTTATCTTAAGGGATGAAGCCGAAGCTAAGGACACAGAGAAGTTCCAATCTGGACCATGCGGCAGTGAGAAGGAATTGGAGAGGCGGTCAGTCTGCCTCACCTTTTATCACCTTGATCAGAGTCATGAGGTGAGCCAGGGCACATGCACAGACCAACAGACATTACTTTCAAATTCTCCAGCTCCGGGTGCATGGAACACATGCATAACCCACAGTGGAATACAATAGGGACCATCACTCGAAGAAAGGGCAGATTCATTTAAGATTAGTGGACTAGATTATTTCATGCAAAGTGCTCTATTTTTAGATATACTCTAGTAGCAAGTTTTTTCTGCCATTCCCTACATTCCTGATCGCCAAAACTTTGCACTTTATGAATAAGCAGACTGTAGGAACTGAACAAATTTTTACAGTAATTAATACTATAGTTTAAAGCCCAGTCCTGCAATCTGGTCAACATGCCCACACACAGCCCCACTGACTTCTGAATGTGTCAACCTGATTGCGACATTTGTATCGAAGTGCAAAAAGTCACCCACTTTATATTTTGCTATCTTATCTCATTTCTGATCTCAAACGGAAGCTTTTTGTTTTTAAAAATACAAGCTGGACAGTGGCATTAGCTTGTTCTCCAAGGTGGGAACTGAGCTCTAGTTAAGTAAAGAAATTTTCAGAAGCTGAAACTCTCACAGTTCAAAATGCTTGTTGTATCTGTTAGACAAAAAGAACTTTTGAATATTTTTAGTTTGTTCAGTCATACGATCAGATGTCCTTTAAAAAATCGTCAAGGTTTAAGATTCAAACAGGGATCGTGCCATATTGATAAATTTAATAATCTAAATGTTAGATGATGACAACTATTCCAACTGTAGTAAACATACAAAACAAGAATTTTATGGCATTACAATGTATACACCCATTTGTTTTTCAATAACTCTTAATGACATTATGTTGGAAATTAATATAAGATAAAGCTACTAAATAAGGCTTTACATTCTGCAGGAAAAAGCTAATATCAACTTGTTCACAGAAGCTATTTCAGAAACTTTACGTTCTTCATTAGGAATTCAGTGCAGCCCTTTTCACCAAAATTATACCCCATCTCTATTTGCCCATATTTGGCAATCACAGTTCTTGAGGAAATCATGAAGAAAACCCTCTCACCTGTTCCTCTTGCAGGTGCCAATTAGTTATCATCTGATATAGGAAGTGGGTCATGGAGAAGTTGAAAGGGGCTCTGACCCAAAATTTAGAGATGAGCTTTTTCCTCGGCTGAGATTAGTAGTGAAGAAATATCTATGGCATCTAATTTATAGGTAGACAGATAGCTGTCATAGACAATACATCCTAGATTTTTAGGAATGGAACCAAAACCCAGAGAAAAACAGTTAAGGGGCCATGAAGGGCCTGAAGAGTGGCCACGGTTGGACAATTCTAACTACTTCTCTTTTACTGACTGTTTCTTTAACATTTAAATGCTAATCAGAAGACTAGACACAAAGGCCCTGATCTGCAAACTGTTCTGCACACACAGCAGCACTGGTCAAACTTCAGAATTTCCCTTTCATGGGAAACATTTTGAAAACTAGTAAGAGTCAAACTCTTATTAAATGCTATTCACTTAACATTAATGACAACTGGGGATAAAAAAAAAAGCACAAAATTCTCTATTGTTCTTTTTAAACCAGCAATAGTAACTTTAGTCCTTAAGAGTAGAAAGATTTACACCATTCTCTGGGCTAGCCATCTACTAATAGCTTTCTTATAAATCTCATGTTTATAATCTACAAAATTAATTTAGAAAAAATACTAAAGATACATGTACAAGGCTACATTTTAAGCAGTCTACCGTCTACAATATAGTTCCTGAATCTCTCACTATAGTGTTCCATTTGTCAACACAAGCTACAATTGTCCAAAATAAAATTGTTACCACACACAACTGTCCTCATCTTTAATGCAGAAGTGAACCCCCTAAAGGCTAAAAGGCCCAGTAAGTAATGTTCCCTCATGATCTGACTAAACTCTTCTCAGATAATTTATTATTCTAACGTTTGTATAGTGCCTTGCATCATGAAGGATCTTAAGAGTGCTTACAATCTTAAACTGAAACACAAATAATAGAGTGATTACTATTTCATCCACCGCTGAAATGTCACCCCCACCTCTGCAGGTGAATGCAACAGGTGTTTTAACTCCACATAGCACCACTACAAAATAGTTTAGAATAAGAAGTGAAAAATACAGTGTCTAATTGAAACGTCAGGGAAAATTGAGTCAGGCAAATTCTAACTAGCTACCTACATATTTCCAAAGATACAAGGGCCAAAATAGTGGACAAGGTCTCAGTTTTACATCTTATCCAAAAGAGAACAGAGCACCAGATACCACTCCGAAGGATTAGTAGTAATCTACAGTTTGATATGGAAAAAACATACCAAATCATACTACTACTTTCTGAAGCATCAGCATATTTCATCCAAATATTAATTAACTCTGCTTAGCTACTGAGATGCAACTGGATACAAAACATGCTTCTGTTTTAAATATGAGAGAGACTGTAATCCACTACATTTTATAGAAACTAATAGCTCAGTGGTTTGAGCATTGGCCTGCTAAACCCAGGGTTGTGAGTTCAATCCTTGAGGGGACCATTTAGGGAACTGGGGTTTAAAAAAACCCAAACAAACTGTCTGGGGATTTGTCCTACTCTGAGCAGGGGGTTGGACTAGATGATCTCCTGAGGTCCCTTCCAACCCTGATATTCTATGATTCTAAGTTGCTGTTGCCTCAGAAGCAACAAAATCGTAGTATGGCAGTGTGCAGATACCTTGACATAAGGGCCCAGTTACATCAGCTCAGGTGGGAAATTGCACATTAAATCCAGTCCGGGCATCCCCTGAGGATAGGTCAGACAGTTGGCTCTTTCCATCTCTGGCTCTCCCAGAAAAACTAATTTGGTGATGATGCAGTGGGCATATGCTCCTGATCCCTGGGGAATGGTTATGTATTTGAAAACCTGTGTGTCAGTGAGAAGTGCATTAAAACACATTCCGAGGGGAGGGAGTGTTTTAAACTTTCATCAGGAAAATCAAATCCTGCATTTAACCTGAACAACTGTGATCAAATATCAAAAGTGAGCTTCCCAACAGCCACTTTAGGGAGGCAAGGTGGAGTTGGAGACTAGACTGGGCACTTCCTCAGTGCACTAGCTCCTGGAGAAGGGACTGGAAAGCATACTTGGACCAAAACCTAGGTCTCCTGCTCCACCATGCAAAAAGGAGGCAAGAAATCTGT